TCTGAAAACTGAAGACAACAAGATCCTAAAAACAGCTGGGTGGTAGGGGAGCAATCCAGATTACCTTCAGAAAGGCAACATTACACTGACAGCTGATTTATCAATGAAACAATGGGAGACAGAGACGGTGATATTTTTTAAGTGTTAAGAGAAATACCTGCCAATCTAGGATTTTGTATCCTGAAAAAGTATTTTTTAAGAACAGAGATGTAAAAAGATTTTTTTAAAGAAAAAAGTAGAGAGCATTTGTCACCAGCAGATTCACACTAAAGGAAATACTAAAGGGACTGCTTCAGGGAGGAAGAAAGTGACTCCAGATGAAATCTAGAAGGAATGAAGCACAGTAAAAAGATCCAGTACCTAGGTAAATAGAAATGAATATCAACAGTTTAAAATAGTAATATTATATTCATGGGATTTAAAACATTTATAGAATTAAAATATACAACTTTAATAGCATGGAAGTTGAAATCATAGTGATTTATGGTCCTTGTGTTGTCTTTGATGGGGTAAAAATACCAATTTGTGTTAGACATTAATGAATCAAAGTGCTTGTTATAATCGCTAGGGTAATCACTAAAAGAATAATAAAATATAACTGCCAAGCCAATAGAGGGGGAAATGGAATAAAAATATTCAACAAAATAAGACAAGAAGGAGAGGGAAAGGGAACATAGAATAGGTAGTAAAAATAGAAGGTGAGTAAAAAGATAGGGGATTTAAGCCCCAGTATATGGTAATTATAATAAGTTTAAGTGAACTAAGTGCTCCATTTAAATTGTCAGAGTTGATTTTAAAATCTTTATACACTGCTTATGAGAGTCACATCTAAAATATAAGGATATAGAAAGGCTAAAAGTAAAAATAAAAAAAGATATGCCAGGTAAACGTTAGTCAAAACCAAGCTGGTCTAGCTTTATTAATACCAAAGCAAAGCTTTATTAGTATCAAAGTATACTTAGGCAAAAATGTTTATTTATAGCTAAAAGGGACATTTCATTATGATTAAAAGTTAAATTTTCAGAAAAATATCACTATTCTAAATCTAATTATACCTAATAATACGGCTTCACATATATAAAGCAAATATTAACAGAACTACAAAGAGGGACAAATTCATATTTATAATATGAAGTTTTAACAGGTCTCATTCAGTAGCTGATAGAACAAGCAGACAAAACGTATCATTAAAGATAAAAAAGATTTGCATAACACAGCTAAGAAATCTGAGTTAGTTGGCATATATAAAACACTGCTAAAAAACTACATGACATGTTTCTCAAGAATACATAAATATTTTTAAAAACCCACAATTTGGCCATATAGACATAAAGCAAATCTCAACAAATTTCAGTATATAACAATATAAGATAATTCTCTGGCTGCAGTGCAATTAAATTAGAAAGCACTAACAAAAGGAAAACTAGGAAAATCCCCAAGAATTTTAAAATTGAGAAATACATTTTAAAATAATCTCTGGGTCAGATAAGAAATCACAATAGAAATTTAAAAATATTTTGAGATTAATAATAATAAAAATACTATGTGCCAGTTTTCTTATGAGACACCTAACTCTTTGCTTGAAGAGAAATGCAGAGCCTTAAATTCATAAAACAGAAAAGGAGAAAGGTACAAATTCATGGTGTAAGAATCTATCTCAAGACTGTAAAAAATAATTGCAAATTCCACCCAAAGTTGAAGAAAAGAAATAGCAAACATTTATGAGGTAAGAAAAGTCAATAAAGCCAAATTTTATTTGAAAAAATTACCAAATCATAGCCCCTTGGCAATATTTATTTTAAAAAATAGAGAAAGAGAAGACTCAAATAACAAATATCAGGAATGAAATTTTTTCAAATGGATAAAATTTTGTGTCTTACAAAAATTTAAAAGATCCTAAAAGAATATTATGAAAATATTTAACCCAATTTTTTTAATTTATTTTTTATTACTTTATTATTTTTTATTTTATTATTTTTTTTAAATATAACTTTATTGATTTCAGAGAGAGGAAGGGAGAGGGAGAGAGAGATAGAAACATCAATGATGAGAGAGTCATTGACCGGCTGCCTCCTGCACGCCCCCTACTGGGAATCGAGCCCACAACCTGGGCATGTGCCCTGACCGGGAATCTAATTTCAACCTCCTGGATCCTAGGCGGATGCTCAACCGCTGAGCCACGCCCAGTGCGCACCCAATTTTTTTTTTTTAATGTAGATTAAAAGGTCACTTGTTTAAAAAATACAACATACCAAAACAGGTGCGAAAAGAAATAAAAATTCTAATTTGTCACATAACTATTAAATTAAATTGCTAACTTAAACCCTCACCACAAAGAACATTACAGGTGCAGATGACTTCACCAATAAAGCCTGTCTTCCATCCTCACTCCGCATAGATAAATCTACATGGGAAGCCAAATAGTAATCGAAAGGCTGCTCTGTGAGAATCAGAGGACAGTGAATGAGATGAGATGATCGTCACAGCCAGTATCTATTAACTATGGAAAGCTGATGTGTACATTTTTGCATAGATGAGAACACTCATTCTCTTGAATTAGAAATACATTACTATTAAGGGAAATTGTTTCTTTAGACTGAGTGTAACGTGAATACTGGGCAATGATTTACACATGCTAATATAGTCATTCCCTGATTCCTGTCGGCTCGGTCACTCTTTTATTCCTTTGCGTCTCTCCAATAATCCAGACATCCTCAAATACTTTGGCTTTCCCCATGAGCCACACCAATATATTCTTAAGCACATTTTGCATCTCCTGTCACGTTTTTCAGGAATGACCTCCTCATCCTCACACCACCTCCACTCACCCATGTGGCAAACGCCTATTTCTTCTTCCATATCCAAGTCAAGTCTCTTTCCTCTGTGAAGTGTTCCCTTCTTTTTGTTTTCACGCTATCTTGCCTATCTTCTGTAATAGTACTTAACACACTGGATTAAATGTGTAGTTCTGTCTCCCTGTTGGACTTTGAGTTTCTTTAGAGAAGACTCTGTGTCTTCATATTTGTATTTCTAGTATGTAAACTCCATAAAAGTTCACTAAATGAAGGAAGAAATGCGTGAATGAATGAACGATGGAGTGAACCCACCTCAGTAGTTCTGTCTCCTTATGATCACCATTTGGGTGTCCTGCTGAGCACTCAAGGAGCTCATTCTAGCTGGTAATGAAAACTACTCTAGTTGAGTAATTCAATCAATAATTAACTCTAAATTAAATCTATAATTGCTTTTGTAATGTATTACAATCATGGGCATTCAAAATGCTGATTTCCCAGATACACGTCATAACCTTAATTTTTAATTTCTTCCTGCTTCTGGTAAATTAAATAGAAGGGAAAAGGAGTGGTAGGAATTGAAAATTCTGAGGAATAACTTTAATTAGGTATGTAAAAGAGCTTTAAAAAAAAAAACACTTTAAAATAAGATTCAGTCTAGAACCCAGATAGGATGTTAATTGCTAATTAAGTTCAGTAGTTTAATAACAGAGCAAATAAGTGAGAGCAGAGTTGCCAGGGAAATGGAAAGACCAGTTCTTCCCACTGCTTTTCAGGCCTTTTCATTCATGGCATGTATAGAAAATGATATTATTTATAGCACACTGGGGTGAATAAATGAGGCTGCTTGCTGTTGAAGATTAGTGGCCCGGGGGCTCTCGCTGTCCCAGGCTCAACCTGGCTCTGGTGAGAGCTCAGGAAATCTGGAGCTCAGGAGTCCCTGGCCCTTCGCAGCAGACTGCAAATTCTGAAGTTTAAGAAAGGGGAGAAGAATGTACCTGCCAGCCCTAGCTCTCAGACTAAGCTAGCAAATGAGGAAGGGTTCAGAGTAAGCCAGAAAGGCATGCACTAGTTAAGTTTCATAGCTAGGATTGTTTAGAACATGAAGAGTACATAGAATTCAGGTAGTCAGGAGAGGTGGAGCGGTGGGGGGCACGCATTCTAAATGGATGGACAGCGTGAGCACAGGGGAGGAGGCGGTGTAAGAAAATCCTAGAGAAGACTGCTGCAGAGACTGAGACAGGGCCCCAGTGGCATTGAAGGGGCCGCCAAAGGCAGCCATCTCTTGGTGGGATATGGGCAGTCAAATGAGGCACCTTTCCAATACCTCTCGTCGTTGAAAATGACCATGTCCAGGAGCCTTTGATCTCTAGTCCAAGGATTGTATGGGAGGCCTGATTACAGATAATGTTTATTGAATACTAACTCCACGCCAGACACATTTCCTAAGCATTTCATTAGCTAATTTAATCCTCACATTGACCTCACCAGCTAGGTTCTGCTGTTACCCGTGGTTTACAGATGAGGAAAGTGCCGACATTGTTTGTGAACCCTCTGTATTCTGTAAAGGGTTTTCACTTTATAGCCCTGACTCGGCGTTCCCACGATGTATTTACTGGCAGTAAATTATAGACTTAATACAGAAATGTATCATGTAGGGGTAGGGTGGAGGCGGCTACTTGGAAATAAAGTCAGCTAGGGATCAAAGAACTAAGGATTTTGAACTCCCCCCCTACACACACAGGTATAAAGAATTTTCTGAGATTGTTGAGCAGGGGGTGGTTTCAGTGAAGCTGCTCTGCAAGATGGGCAGGATGAGTTGAGGGTGGGGAAAAATAAGAGGTACCTGCGATACCAGCTGAACAGTTAGGAATGTAACGCAAAAATCTAGAGGTGATGTGCTAAAAAAACACAAAAACCCAAACAACCAGGTCAGGTGGCTTCGTAAGGGAGAGGGCACAGATGCAAGAGCCAGGATGAAGGTCCAGGCTACTAGGGAGTAAGCCTGAGTGACTGGGTGAGCATGAGGGGCGGGGGTCATTCTGATAAGGGAGGTGATGAATGTAACTTCAGCTTGTTTTGAGTTTGGGGATATTGATTCACGCCAGCCTGGGATGTGTTATTGTATTTGACAATTTTAAAACTTTATTTCGAATACTTCTTTATTTTTGATATGGATGATAAGATTTATCTCTATATTTTAATTTCACATTAATACTGTACCTGGTAAAGGTATGATAGTTACTTATTATTATAATAAGTAATTGCTATGATGTTTTTTGTAATATATGTAATTGCTAATGTTGTTGTTATTTACTGTAGGGTATCAGACCAGGATGAAGAGGGCAAGACCGAGCAGAAGTGTATCATATCGGACCCTTCCTTTTCCATGGTGGCAGTTCAACGGGAAGACAGTGGGATAACCTGGGAAACCAATTCAAGTAGTTCTTCCACTCCTTGGGCTTCGGAGGAGAGTCAGACCTCTGGTGTATGTAGTCCGGAAGGGTCGACTGTAAATTCTTCTGCAGGGAATGTTTCCTTTATTGTGGATGAAGTTAAGAAGGTCCGAAAGAGAACCCCCAAGTCCGAGCGTGGCTCACCATCCTTGCGTCGGAAAGGCAACAAAAAGAAAAAGTCTTCTCAAACCCAGGATGTTCTAGCAAACAAAAAAGATAGCCCTTTAATTTCAGAGAGCCAGGTGCTAGACACCCCGAGCGAGAAGCTGTCTATTGGCAGCTATGATAAAATGAGGAAAAAGAAGACCACCTCAACTACGCCTCCTATTACCGGGGCCATATACAAAGAGCACAAGCCGTTGGTGTTACGGCCGGTCTATATAGGAACAGTACAGTATAAAATTAAGATGTTTAATTCCGTTAAAGAAGAATTAATTCCTCTACAGTTTTATGGAACATTGCCGAAGGGTTATGTAATTAAAGAAATACACTACAGGAAGGGGAAGGATGCATCCGTTAGTCTAGAGCCAGATGCGGGCAATCGTGATTCTAATATAGTTTCTAAAACAGGCAAATTAGTAGCCCAGAGCGTAGAAGAGGACAAGGTGGGGGCGCTTACCTCACCCTGGAGAGGTGCGCTCTCCAAAGGGCCAAAGTCACATACCTCCTTATTGAGCCGCGAGGATCAGAAGAAAGTTTACCCAGATTCTCCTCGACAGGCTGCTTCTGCCACCAAGCGCACGGCTTCCCCTTACACAGGTGGTGGCCCAGCAGGCCCAGCAGCGCGGCTCGGGCCTCCGCAGGCAGGCCTGCAACAGCCAGGCGGTGGAGCAGAACCCCACGAAGCAGAGCCCCCCTCTCTGACGCCTGACACATCGACAGCCGTGTCCCTGGAGACGGCAAAGGAAGACACGGAGCCTGACTCACGAGGAATTGTAGCTTCAGAGCCTGAATCTGCAGCCTCGCGACCTTCGGTGGAGGAGCTAAAGCCCGGCCTGTATTCTGCTGACCATTCCGCCTCGCTGGAGGCCGAGAAGGATTCTCTGGAAGCAGGTTCCCCGGGTCTGGCAGCATCTGTCCTGGAAGATCTGGGCCCAGAGAGAGAAGAGTTAGACCAGACTTCACTAGAAGGCGCAGAGCCAGTCTCCGAACAGACGACCCCTCCTCTGCCCCATGTCGGAGGAGAGAAAGAGGAAGCCGTGCTTGAGCCACCCGTGTCTCTCTCTGAACCTTTAGTGCCACAGAAAGAAGGAATAGAGCCTTCCCTACCACGAGCGGCCACCCCTGAACCCGAAGACTCTGATTTAGTGGAAGAAGAGGTCGTAGAACTTGACTACCCAGAAAGTCCCTCGGTTTCCGAGAAGCCCTTCCCACCGCCCGTGGCCCCTGAAGGAGAGTGGAAAGAGGAGGAGACCGTTCCCCCGTCACCGACGGCATCGGCGCCCGAACGTGCCGCTCTGGCTGAGGAGGAAAGAGAGGAAAGCGAGCCTGCCCCTGCGGATTCTGCTTTCATCCCAGAGTCTGCAGCCCCGCAGGGTGTGAGCCACGGGCTAGACAGGCAAGGCGCCGGGCCGGTTCCTCAGGCCAGCCTGAAAGCTCCGTCGGAAGGTGCAGGTGTGTCGGAGGAGGAGAAATTGGAGCCTCAGCCCCCCGCCTCGCCGCCCGCCACCGAGGCTTCTGCACGCCAGGCCCCGCTGCGTCCGGCAGCTGCGGTGGAGCGTGCGGGCCTGCCTGCACAGGAGGCCCCAGAGAGCGGCCGGGACACAGCGGACTCCACCTCGGCTCCTGCACATCCAGCTCCATCACAGGCAAAGGAGCCACCGACGGACGCCGACCGAAAGGCCCCATTAAAACCAAAAGGTGGTTTCGAGCACAGGATTCTGTCAGAAGAACAGAAGGAAGGCACTGGGCTGTATTCCCCAGACGTGGCCTCTGTGGCTGAACCCTCTCCCCCCCCAGGCACACCTGAGACGACTTCCGAGTACCCCACCCCGCCGCTTTCAGCCGCCCCATCTGAACACGTGGTCCTGTCCGAAGAGGGCCTAGGAAGTGAGCGTTTCACACCAGATTCAGCATTGAATTCCCAGCGTGCAGTCCCACCAAATGTAGCACAAGAATCTCCAAAGAAAATAGCTGATGATGTGTCCCTCTTAAAACCAAAAGGTGTTTCTGAGCACGTGATTCTGTCAGAAGAAGAGAAGGAAGGCACTGGGCCGTGTTCCCCAGACGTGGCCTCTGTGGCTGAACCCTCTCCCCCCCCAGGCACACCTGCGATGACTTCCGAGTACCCCGCCCCGCCGCTGTCAGCCGCCCCATCGGAGCAAGTCCTGTCCGAAGAGGAGACGGCAGAACCGGAGCGGTACACACCCTCTTCCACGTCTGCGTCTGAGCTGTCAGTGCCACCGTACGCAGCACCTGAATTCCGGGAGGAAGAGCCTGTCCGCGGATCCCCTTTAAACCTAAAAGGTGCCTCCTCGCCCGTGAATTATTCAGAAGAGCAAGAGGACGTTGGCCCTTTTTCTCCAGACTCTGCATTCGCGTCAGAGTTTTCATTCCCGGCCTACGCAAGTCAGGAAACGGAGAAAAGAGAATTCGAGCGTGATTCTCCAATATGTTTAACATCCCCGTCATCAGAACACACTATTTTGTCAGATGAAGACACTGAAGAAGCTGACCTTTTTTCTCCAGACTCGGCATCACAAGTTTCAGTCCCGCCGTACAGAGTCCCAGAACCAGAGGAAAATGAAATCGAGCCGGATTCACTGTTAGCTGCGGCGTCTGCGTCAGGATATTCCTGCCTTGCAGGAGCAGATGAAGCACTGGAACCAACAGCTGCTCCCCCAGTGCCCCAGCACCTCAGCTCATCACAGGCGCGACCAGGCGGACCTTCCCCTCCGGCGTCTGCGCCTGAAGACTGGAGTCTGCCACCTGCAGCAGACAAAGCGGAGAAAGCCGGTGCTCAAACAATCTCCACATCTGTATCTGAATATCTCATTTCAAAACAGAAACACGTCACTCGGACATTTTTGGAATCTGAGTCTGAAGACTTAATTCCGCCACATTTAACCGGGGAATTGGAGAAGGGAGAAATTAAGACCGGTTCCGCGGCAGCTGCGGCGCAGTCGTCCATGGAAAAGGGAGAAAGCAAACCCGTTTCACCTTCATCCCAGCGTTCACTTTCTCCTGATTCAGGCCGCGCACTTAAGAAAGAGCAAGAACCCAAAGCATCGCTCGCTCCAAAAGGTGCAGATGAACAGATGGCTCCATTAAAAGGGAAAAGGAAGGGAGAAATTGTCCCTGATTCCCAAGAAGCTGCAGCACGTCTATCACGGGATCAAGACACGGAGCCTCAGCCTCCAAATGTTCCAGGGTCTGGAAGGGAATATTCAGCTCGGTCTGGCCTGGTAGATGAGCCAAAGAAGGCTGTCGGACTCAATTTAGCTCCAACTGTGACGTCGGAAGTCGTGCAGAGAATGCGGCCAGAGAATGAGCCTGAAGCAGTAAAGCCATACTCACCTCTAAAGGACACGTCTTCACCTGGACCTGAGATTCCATCAGCAGTGAAAGCGGAGGTGGAACATGATTCCAGAACACCCGGCGCCCCTCGAGTGCTGCAGCAGGCCACACCGGGACTGGGGAAGGGAGCGGAGCGTGGACCATCCGCACCAGAATTTTCAGCTTTGTCGGAAGAAAGAAAGAAAGAAACTGAACCCAGTTCTTCAGTCACCACGACCTCTGTAGCTAAGCGTGATTCAGACTTAACCAAATTAGCGAAAGAAGCAATCCCAGCAGAGCTGTCTCTTCCCACCCCCGTGGAGCAGCCAGTCTTAAACGCAGCAAGGAGTGGATTAGCCAGTGGTTTGCCGCCACAGGAAACATCTGTGGACGAGCAACTACATCTTAAAGAGGAAGCGAAGGTAGCAATGAAGGCTGCTGCGCCCAAGCATCCAGCTTGGTCAGAAGCAGAGGACGTGAAACCGGATTCTGCTCCAAGCGTGTTGTCTACACCAGCACGCTCTATTTTGTCAAAGGTGGAAGCTGAAGACATTAGACCCGGGTTGCCAGTAACCGAAGCACTGCCTCCTCGACGGGCAGAGGTGCCTAAGGAAGCCGGGGTGGGAAACGAACAAGGCCCTTCACTTTCCGCGGCCCTTGGCTCCGAACGGTTGGCTGTGGCTCAGAAAAAGGACTCTGTGTCTGCCTCGGAGGGGTCAGGGCCCGAACACGGGACTCCGGCCAGCCTCGGTGGCGAGATAAAGAACAAGGGAGCTGAACTCCCTTCCTCACAAACCGTGTCACCCGCACCCAAGCAGGCAGCTCCAGAAGGCAAAACTGAGAAAATGGCCAGCTCTTCCCCCGAGCTGGAAACTTCGACGGCAGGGGACTTACCTCCAGCGTTGCCGAGCCTCAGAGATAAGACCAAACAGGCCAAGAAGACATCACCCGCAGCTCAGAGAGGTGTCCTGTCAGAAAAACACGGCCTTGCTCCCGCAGAGCTCTTTCTGGAACCTGAGAAGGAAGATGAACCACACCGAGTGTCAGAATTACCAGGGCCCAGGGTGGAACTCCCGGGGGGTTTAGGTGGGCAAAGCGGACCTGCAGACACCGAGCAAGTCAAAGCTCCCGTATCGGGAACAGGGGATTCTGGCTTCGGAAAGGGCCTCGCTGAGCTCGGGAGCAGAGGAGAAAGCAGGGAGCTTCATGTGTCAGCCACGGTGCCTGAGGCCTCAGAGGCCTCATCATGCCTCAAGGAGGACCCTCGGAGCCAAGCAGTTAAGCCCGTCCCTCCCAAGGCAGGCGGCGGAGGGGCAAAAGAAGCACTTGCCTCTCTGGTTGAAGGCGGCAGCCCTGAAGAACTTCAGCCACATGCTCTTACTTTAAAAGGATTATCAGAAGAGTTGAAAAAGGGGGAAACACAAGAAATGCGCTCATTACTGCCAACAGGAAATTTGAAGGCACACGTGACAGGAGATGCTGTAACTACACTAAAAGAAGCAGCAGACCGGACAGATTCATTCCCCGTACCCCAGAGGACAACCGAGCAACTTCCAGTGATGAAGGGGAATTTGCCTTTGGAAGAATCAAAGTCATTCCTGACAACTGAGTCTGCATATGTTAAAGAAACACAAACGAAAGAGGCCCTTATCTCTCCGGAGGACGAAAACTGGGTGCTGGGAAAGCCAGAAAGAGATCTGGCGAGTCATCGTGAGGAGGGAGTCCTGGGACCCGTGCAGCTGGGTGCCTCCGGCAGGGCCACTCTGTCGGATGAAGACCGTGCGTATGACACTGGAAAGCAGGCTCTGCCACGTTCTGCCGAAGAGTCTCCTTTGTCGTTACGGGAGCCAGTGTCCGCTCACGCAGTGCCCGGCGGTGGCATAGAGACCTTACCAACTGCAACATCGTCTGAAGGGGTAAAGCCGGTCCCCCAACCCAGATCTTTCATCCCAGCTGGACGTGTAGAGAGGAACGAAGCAGAAGAGAAGCAGGCCTTTCCTTTCACTCGGCGCGAACGTCCCGTGGTGGAGAAAGCAAGCACAGAATTTTCCAGGCCTTGCACAGAAGACAGCCAGGAGGAAGTCAAACCACCTCCCGAAAGAATCCTCCAGAAGCCAGTGTCTGGCCCACCAGCGGGACAAGTCAGATCAGAAACGATTCCTTCCGGTGCCAAAGCAGCTCCTTTCCTGGCAGAAGATGCAATAGACGGTAAAAAAGAAGCACACGGGGGTGTATCTCCTCTACCTGGAGAGAAGCCATTAGAAGAATCAAAAACGGTTCAGTCAAAGGCTGCAGATGATGCTAATGAGAGAGGGAAACTGACATCGGGAATGAAAATACCCACACAAATAAAACCCTCAATCCAAGAAAATAAAGAACCTCAAGCACCTGAGGTGACACAAAAGCTGCCTGAGCAGCCAAAGGCGGTTAAACCAGGCCTTTCCGAGGAAAAGAAAAGGAAAGGAATTTCATCTTTCACGTCCTGGATGTCCAATTTGTTCTTTAGATCAAGCACTGCAGATAACAGAGTTGCTGAAAAAGAAGATTTAGAAACTCAGCCAGGTCCATCTGTAGAAAAAGCAGTGACTGTGACCGAGCCTACAGGCACATCTCCAGCTGACATTAATGCAACTGAGAAACCAGCAGATCGTCTGCTACCAGAGGCAAAACTTGTAACTGCCGAAGAATCCAGAGTTGCTTTAGTTAAATCTGCTGAAGGTCAAGACTTTAAAGAAAAGCCTACACTTTTATCAAGTGTAGAAGTTTCACAACAGCCAAAATCCAACTTTGAGGAGCCCAGTGCTGATCGTGGGAAGAAAGAAATCTTAGACTATGCAGAGGAAATGGACCTAAACTCAGTAGTTCCTTCTGCTGATCGTGAGGAACATTTTGGAATTCAGTCTTACTCTCCTAAGGGTGAGAAATCCCTTACAGAAGAAGCCAAAAGCACTGTTCCCCCTAATGTCACTGAAAGTAAAAGAGCCCAGAAGCCAGAAATCTCTTCTCCACCTAAATGGAATATTTCTATTCTTAATGAAGAGCCAAGAAGTGATCAAAAGGAAAACTCGCTCTTTTCATCTGGTGCAGTAGATACGGTGTCACAACAGCCCAAATTGGCTCCATCTAACTTCACAAGTAAAAATATCATGAGGGGATCAGAGAAGCCAGAGTCGATAATTTTGCCAGAAGAATCTAAAGGCAGTTTAATGGATCTTGGTGAAGACAGACTGAAGAGAGAAATGCCAAAACCTACTGCCTTGAAAATTTCTGAAGAGGAAATAAAATTCGGGTCTGTTAGCCCAGCTGAGGAGAAAGATAACTTGGAAAGCAGATCATATTTCTTGGCAGACAAGAAGGTGCTGGCAGGAAAACAAGAAACTGTGGCCCCATTAGAGTTAAGAGATAATAATGAAATAGGAAAGGCACCAGTTACACATGGCTCTCGCCCTGGTAAATTGGAAGAATTGAAAGCCTCTGCTGTGCTGCAGCAAGTCTGTCAAAATGCAGATCAGGAAGAAAGACACAAAATTACTGAGGAAGAGAAAGGAAAAGAAAAGGAAAAGCAGCTACAAGTATTTTCAGAAGGAAAGAAGCAGCAGGAGATTGAGCCTTATTCTGTGAATATAGCCAGGGCTATACCTGAAAAGTCAGATGTCTCTTTAAGTCGTTCTTTGGGTGAAACCCAACCATTTTCATTAGTTAAAACTACATCAACTCCTGAAAAACCAGAAACCATGATCTCAGAGGCTTACCCAGAAATCAGGGAAACAAGGGCAGTAGGAATGCAGCCATCTCTGTTAGAAGAAAGTAAAGTGTTGGTGGAGAAAACGAAGGCTTCCCTTCCAGTGGACCTTCCTTATCGTGATGAAATAGATGCCCACTCCTTTCCTAAGGAAGGAGATCTGGTATTGGAGAAATCTAGCAGGGGTATGGCGAGTCATAATGAAGAAAAGGGACAGGTCACAGTGTCAGAGCTGTCAAAAGGTGGTTCAATGGATATCACAAAAGATAGTATAAAACAAGGATCTCCGTTGAAAGAATCTGAAAGGATTTTATACCATCCTTTGGATGAAACCAAGAGCTTAGAAACATTGCCATATTCATTGTCATCTGTGAAACCACAAACACTTGTTTCAGGGGCTTCTTCAGAAATTAGTACAGTAGAGAAACAAGAAACCAGTAGAGAGAAGAAACAAGAGTTGACTCCAGATAGGCCTACAGTCCATACTATTCAAACGTCTAAAGTGCAAATATCTGAAATGTCTAAACAATCTGTACTTGTTTCAAAGCACCAGTTGGAGGCTGTAGGAGCTGCCCACGTAAATGAACCGCACTCTTCAGCAAGCAGCAACTATGCTCAATTTATAAGAGATGCATCAACCACCAATGCCAGTAAAATGGTTTCTACTAGAGAAATATCCAAGGAGCCTGAAGATGAAGAATTTACAATGACCAGTAAGCCAGCTGGACTTTCAGAAGAGCAAAAGAGTGCCTTCAGTATCATTTCCGAAGGCTGCGAGATACTGAATATTCATGCTCCTGCATTTATATCTTCAGTTGATCAGGAAGAAAGTGAACAAATGCAAGATAAGTTAGAATATTTGGAAGAGAAGGCCTCACTTAAAGCTCTACCCTTTCCTGGAGATAGTGAGACAGTTGCTTGCTATGAAACATTAAAGAGTAAGTTAGAAGAGTCTGATAAGAAAGTTGCATCACTGAAAGAAAATAAAGAAAAGGAAACTCATAAAGCAAAAGAGGAGATATCCACAGATTCAGAAACTGGTGATTTAGCTTTTAATCAGCCCACAGTTCCCAGTGAAGAGGATTATTTTGAAAAATATACATTGATTGATTATAACATCTCCCCAGAATCAGAAAAACAGAAAGCTCCAGGGAAGTTAAATGTTGAGGAGAAACTCTCAAAGGAAGTTACAGAAGAAACTGTCTCTTTCCCAGAAGGTTCAGAGGAAAGTGTCCTAGAACATGAATATGACTTGGTGAAATTAGATGAAAGTTTTTATGGACCAGAAAGGGACTACAGCACATTATCTCACCCAGAGACCCAAAAGTCTTTGGTCATCCAAAAATCCACTGACAGAGATGCTTCAAAGAGCACAAGTAGAGATGTGGACTCAAAGTCACCTGGGATGCCCTTATTTGATACAGAGGAAGGAGTTTTGTCACGATCCCGGATCTTTCCTACCACTGCTAAAGCCATTAATCCTGAACTTCTGGAGGAACCACCTGCACTTGCATTTTTATACAAGGATCTGTATGAAGAAGCAGTTGGAGAGAAAAAGAAGGAAGGGGAGACAGCTTCTGAAGGTGACAGTGTGAATTCCGAGGCATCGTTTCCAAGCAGAAATTCTGAAACCAATGATGGAACAGGAATATATTTTGAGAAGTACACACTCAAAGATGACATTCTCCATGACACATCTGTAACGGAAAACGACCAAGGCCAAGGTCTGGAAGAAAAACAAGTTGCTAAGGATGATTCATATCAACCAATAGCAGCAGAAAGGGGAATTTGGGGGAGGTTTGGAACTATTTGGGGGGGAAAGAGTCTGGAAGAGGAACAGAAAGCTGCTTGCAGGGAAGGAGAATCAGTAGGCCATGTGGAGACCCTTGATGATGTAGCTACCCAGAGGACAGCTCCCATCACTGAGGAAGTCACAGTGGTCACCCAGAAGATAAGCTACGCAGTGCCATTTGAAGACACCCCCCGTGTTCTGGAGAGAGTAGGTGAAACAAGTACTCAGAGCAACGAAGCGGCAAATGCAGACCCAGAGGTCAATCTGAATGTCCCAGTACAAGTGTCCTTCCCAGAGGAAGAGTTTGCATCTGGTGCAACTTGTGTTCAAGAAACACTGCAAGTAGAACACCACATAATGGTCCCACCTGAGCCACGTGAAGATGGGCTCCGCAGTGGTCCTGTTCAGGATGAATATGGGTTTGCAGAATCCCTGCATTACGAAGTAGCTACTCAGGACACTTTATCAGGAGACCTGTATTCAGAATCCACCCCTGAGGATGTGTTATCTCAGGGAAAGGGAGCCTTTGAACACATCAGTGGAAATGAATTTGTGAGTGAGGTGGAACAAAGCATGTCTGCTGAACAGAAAGAGTTGGGCAGAGAGAGGACAGAAGACCAATTATTATCAGAGTTAGTAACTGAGAAGGAGCAAAAGGAACCGAAAAAGTCCCAGATTGACACATATTGCTATACTTGCAAAAGCCCAATTTCTGCTGTTGACAAGATATTTGGCACCCACAAAGACCATGAGGTTTCAACGCTTGATACAGCTATTAGTGCTGTAAAGGTAAATAGATTTTAAAGCATATAAGTACATAATACTCTGTACAGGGATGGAAAAGAATAGGTTTACAGTTGTGAGTATGTAATGAACACAGAGTTTATTCTTGTATTATTATTTATTAATTATTGTATTATTTGTTTGTATTACAACTGTAAAGCTACTTTTGCCCACCCCATGTACATTTAATTTGTTTTAATATTTTCTCAATTTAAAAAATGATCAATATGTAATACATTCATCTTTAGGCATAGCAGTCCGAAAGAAAACTAAGACTGTTTCCCCAGGAATTTAGTTAAGATCAGTTGACAAACATTTATTATCTATACACTATGTGCCAAGTATTTTCTAGATTCTGGGGATACCAGGATAAATAGCACAGGGTTCCTGCATTTGAGGGGTCTTATAGCAGTAGCCCTTAACATTACTCCAAAAAGCCAAATAATTTTAAATTAAAAAATATACTTTTGAGCATAAAACAATTTATTTTCTATTACTTACAATATCAGCCTTTAAAATACACACATTACAATGAGCAATTTTACTGCAAATTTTATAAAATAGAGAGTATGACATTTTAAATTTCTGTTTTTTCCATATTTCCTCTTTGTTTATCAAACTGTTAGAAATGGAAAAACTTTTAATTCTTTCTGGCTATGTCTATAGACTTCCAATGTTAAATAGTTAGCTACAACACATATCCTTATGTATGTGACTATAAATACTCCATTTAGTCTTTGAGATTCCCATCTACCCTTGAGTAGCCTTCTAACTGGAATCCCTTCTCTTGTCTCTTCAACCTATCTTCCATAGAGTGGCCAGAATGATCTAAAAATGCAAATAATAATAAGAATTTAGCACTTATTCTGTGCCAGGCACTGTATTCCTTATAAACAAGAAATCTTCAAGTTGCAGATCATGAAATTGGCTCAGTTCAAGTGAGCTGCCCAAGGTCATGGAAGACAGAACTAGAGTTGGTACCCAGGTCTGTCTGGTGCCAGAGTTCATGTTCTTCGCTGTACATCCATGTTGCTGGACTCAGTAACTTCCTAATGATAGCAATTTTCAATATGATTATTCAACTAGTTCACTGTGAAATAATTGCCAGGCTCATTTTCATTCAATAGGATAACATATTAGAATCTTGGCCTTTATTTTCCACTAAGAAAGTAATTATTCTCAACTTGTCTGATGTTGGTTCTATTTCTCTAGGATGACATTTTGTTGAAACCTCACCTGGGGTGATTTCTTTTATGAAATCTTTTATGAAATTAACAGCACTGATACGTGCCCCATTCTTTAATGACTCTTGGTTCTGTTAAGTAACTGCTACTGGGTACTGTCAGCAGAAAAATTAGTTTTTATTCAGTCTTCTTAGTTATATTTTATGAGTTTTAGAAATTAAAAAATCATTCTGTCTAAATATTCTCAATTTAAAACAAATATCAATAGCAAGGAGATGTGCTGTCTCCTCCTTTAAAACCATATCAAACTTTCTCCCCAATCTTTTCCCCACAGTATGATACAGTAGAAAACCAAAGAGTCTTCTTAGTTTCATTAAATCAACTGTGAAGATGAAGAGTTGGTTGGCAACTTTAAAATTAAAACTCCATTTAAAAAGTTATAATTTGAGAGTTCTCTAGCATCTTGTGAGTAAGCCATTGGTAATTGTTCAGGAACCAAGAGCTGCGTTTACAGATGACCCGGGTCCTTGGTTCAGCCCACTCCATCCCCATTGTGGCGGCTTATCTTTCATCTGTCACTTATTTCCTTTCTTCGCTCTATCCCTTCCTGCTTCTCAATATTTATTGACCTCCTATCCCATGGCAGGAACTATGAGAATCATTGGGAATGAAAACCAAAATAAAGGAAGATGGGTTTGTAGCTCCTCCAAATCATTACAGCACTGTGGGAGCCCTGTTCTGAGGAGCGAACTTTTGAGAGTGGGTGAAATGATGGAGTGGGACTGGGAGACTTAAGGGAGGTGTCTTTAAAAGGGGAAGCTTGGGTAAGCCTTAAGTAAGATAGAGTTCCTTCAGCAAACAAGGGCAGGAGGGTCGTTCTGGAGACGGGGAAATACCATATGAAAAGGCACCTAGGTGAGAAAGAGTGCAAGGAAAGATGGGGCTTGTGTGGTTGGAGCCTGAGGGCTTATGGAGAAGAGGCAGGGGCTGGAGAGGGAAGCAGAGGCGGATCCTGAAGGAGCTTCCATCGGTGTCATTTCTCCTTCATTCTGTGGGTAATGAATCAGGCAGCTGAAGCTGTTACTCTGTGTGGTTACTTGTTAAGTTTAGCAGGATAGATTACAGCTAAGGTTATAACTACAGCTAAAGTCGGTACCATCTTTCCTCATTACTCCTGAGTTTTCTAGTTGGCTGTCACCTCTTGAGTGTTTTAACCCTTTGAGGATCATTAGAACCTTTAGGTCTCTTTAGTAGGTAGTGTTCATCGTTTGGTATGCTAGACTTCTGGCCTGGTGACACTCTCATCACCTCTCAGGCTCAGGTGCTCCAGGCTCAGCCTGAGGCCACTGGCACAAATGTGAGGAGACTACTCAGGTAAGTTGGGCCAATTCAGCAAAAAGCCTGCTTATTGCAGGAAAGACCATCAAGGCCTTACTAAGGGAAAATAATTCAGATCCATAGCCCACTCAAACAGGTATTTTTTGAACTCACCAACTTATCAAGAAGTCCTTCCTCTTGTATGAGAAAACACATTGTCTTTTTATAGCTCTCACTCACAGACCTCCCAACTGTTTATCTTACAGAATTATCTATCGTCATTTCAGATGAAGCAGCAGAGAAAATTTAGAAACTGATTTGTTAGTGGACGTGGTGTAGTAAATCTCTACCAAACACACTGAGTTTATAAGGAAACTGGAGCTCACTGCTTGGAGTTCTCTTCTCAAATGTTATATACTAAAAACAAAACAAAACCAAACAAACAAAAACACACAAAACACAAACATTTAAAAAGAAAAAGCAAACAAAATAAGTCAAATGTCGTGTACTAAGGATATCTGAACTCTTTTCTTCAGGTTCAACTAGCAGAATTTCTAGAAAATTTGCAAGAAAAGTCCTTGAGGATTGAAGCCTTTGTTAGTGAGATAGAATCCTTTTTTAATACCATCGAGGTGAGTTCCCACATCCCTTTCACTTTTACCTGGTTTGTTCACGGCATCACAAGTAAATGATACTGATCTCAGAGAATCTGAGTTGGGGTTTGTGTGTGCATATGTGTAGCCGTTGTTGATTTTGTTCCATTAAGAGTGAAGGTCCTTATAGTCTTCCATCTGTGTGTAATCAGTGAGACTTTCCGTCTAAAGGTAAATGACTAGCCCTTGAAAGCACATACACATTTATCGGGTACTTACTACAATAAGGCAAGTGCTTTAATGCTTATCCAATTTAATCCTCAAAATAACCATGTAAGATAGGCGTTATTATTGTTCCCATTCTATGAATTAAAAAACTGAGATTTACGGTTGAGTATATTACCCAAGGTCATATGTTGAGAGACAAGATTTGAAATCAGGTCTGAGGTCTTACTTGCTCCACCATCCTGCCTTCCCCTGGGTTAGTTCTGCAGAAACGCTCTCAGTCACTGCCCAGTGTCCCATGCCCAGATAAACGAGTGCTTCTCATGGTGCCATTGCCTTTGTTGAGTTCATGCCCTGCTAGCTGCTGGCCTCTGCTCGGTCTGCAGTGAAGGGAAGACGTAGCAACGCTCCATCCGTACATACAGGTGGCCCAGGTATCCTCACTTGTTGGTCAGGAGTGGCAGAGGCCCCTGCGGAAGGCTGGTGCACAGTTTCCCCATCCCTAGAGCAACTCCACATCCTAGTTTGCTTGCGAGAGGCCTGCTTAACTCCACTTATAGCTCAATGAACACCAGCTAATTATTTTAG